TTGAGCTCAAATATCTCAGCCTTGGTCCTTATCATTCAAGGGTTCCTGACAGCGGCCACCAACATTAGCCTCAAAACTTGGGGGGAAGCAAATACACCCCACCCCAAAATAAATGCAGCCATCCTGAAACATGCAGGGGACCAATTTTACAAGGGGGATGTGGATGTCCTTCAGAGGGAAACAACATAATAGAAAATTCCCAGTGAGGTGTTTCATTCCTGGAGGTTTTCAAGAAGAAATCAGACAGACATTGATCTGGAATAGCATAAAGTCTCCTGCTTGAGCAGGGGGTTGGACTAGAAGACCTCCAAGGTCCCTTCCAACTATGTTATTCTGTATTCTTCTGAAGACATAAGGGTGTTTATCTTTTGTTGTAGAGGTAGATATAGTAGCAGTTTGTGTAGTAGTTTTTGGTGTAGAGGATCTGTACGTTTCTCGAATTTTTTTTTATTAAATATTTCTAAAAAGGACGATAAAAATGAAAGCAAAGGAGAAAAAATACAAGAAAGGGAAAGTAAAAGGAAAGTAGAGAAGAAGCCACTTTTCTTTTCAGCAATCAAAAGAACAATTTCAAATTTATTCTACCTTAAAACCTAGCTCTCCTTTATCAACTCTATCCTGTCTAATCATAGAAATAAATTGCAAGATCTTTTTCCCCCCCCTGCTTTGTGCCTAAAGGCCTTTAATTGTTTTCCAGGCAGGAATCAACTTAAATATTATCTTTTTCTATAATCAAAGTCAATTTAGACATCTGAGCAAGTTCCATCATCTTCAGCAACCTTGGGTAGCAATCCCGAATTTTTCCAACAACGTTGTGCAAACAACCATCTCGCTCCTGGGCTTATCAAGGTACGAAAACAAACGTCCATATTTTTTTTCCAACTATCCTTCCATCCATCCCAAAAGCAGAAACCTCTGGTCTCAAATTGTATACAGGTAGTCCTCGAATTACAACTTTGTTTAGTGACTGTAAAAAGTTACAACGGCACTGAAAAAAGGGACTTATGACCATTTTTCACCGTTACCTTTCCAGCATCCGCATGATCAGGTGGTCAAAATTCAGATGCTCGGCAACTGACTCATATTTATGACGATTGTGGAATCCCAAAGTCATGTGGTCCCCTTTTGCGACCTTCTAACAAGCAAAGTCAGTGGGGAAGCCAGATTACTAACATACCCACTGCCATGATTCACTTAACAACAGAGGCAAGAATGGTCATAAAATGGGGCAAAATTCAATGTCTCACTTAACAACAGAAAGTTCGGGCTCAATTATGATCGTACATTAAGGACTACCTGTATTAATTCTTAAAATCCTCTGCATTCACGTAATGTATCTCTGAATGTGGAATTTTCTAGCTTTTTTACAGGGTGACCACACACAATAAAATGCCCTCTCTTGCCTACATTTGCAACGTAAATAAAATGTTTTCCGTCAAGTGAAGATCATCCACTAAAGTTGTAACTGAATGGGACATGATTGAGCTGAAGAGTTCAAGAATGTTTCGCTTCCAATTATTTTCCATGAGTGTCTTGTTGGAAGATGTTGACTTAGGCAACCTAAAGTTGGCTTGTTTCAAGAACCCTGCTCTAATCAATCAAGTCACATTTCTTGTATCAGCCTTCCTTAATGTGCAAACCCAACTAAAGTTGGCTTGTTTCAAGAACCCTGCTCTAATCAACCAAGTCTTGGTGGGTGTTGTGTTTTGGGGGGGAAGGGATTGTGTAAACCAAGATACTACAAGCCAGTTGAAGGCTTCCTTAATGGGCACACCCAACTAAGTGTGGCTTATGGAAATCACAATTAACCCAAGACTCCACAACATGTGTAAATTGGTCTCTAAGCTACAGACGCTTTCCTTCTGGATCACTTTGCTCTCAACTTACTCCATCAGGAAGGGTATGTGTAAAAACATGAGCGTAAGCCAAGCCACAGTTTAGGGCTTCGTCAATGTGCAAACTCAACTAAATGTGGCTTACTTCACTCTCAACTCCTCCACCAAATGTCTGAATTTTGATGCAACCATGGGGATGCTATAACGGTGGTAAGTATAGTCATAAGTCCCTTTTTTCAGTGCCGTTGTAACTTCAGTCACTAAATGAAAGATTGTAAATTGAAGATTATATTCTGTGGGAAGATTTAAAGCTGTCCCAATATTGGGGGCGCCAGCTCTGAATACAGGAGAGATTTTACAGGCAGACTGGGCACATTTATCTCACCTGGGGAAACAAATTACCTGTGCCCAGGGTCAAAGGTCATCCATTCCAAGCCCTCTCCTGATTAAATCTGCACCCCAACCATTCAACCTGGTTGGGCTTGGCACCCTGCAGGTTAAACAGGCTTCTATTACCATCTGTGTTGGCATTCACAGGACTCGGCCAACCAAGCCACATAATTTAACCCAAACCACATGAGAGCTTAATGAGAGTTTAACTATTAATAATTTAATCCATATGGTAAATTTATTTTCAACCTTGGCAACTTTAAGACACGTGGACTTCAACGCCCAGAGTTCTAGCCACTTCATCATTTTATTTTTCACAGACAGGCAAGTTGGAAAATGAGCTGCATTAAGATGCAAAAAAAGAAAAGAAAAGAAGCATTTTGGCCCAGCAGTCATCCTGACTTTTCCCCTGCTGCTTTAAGTAAGAGCACTGCACAAGGAAACAAAACACAGAACCAAACACACTTATTAACTTAAAATCGCAATTAAAACTTAAGAAGACCTAGCCTGCCACGTGTCAGGCAAGCGTTTAACTCAGAGGTCTCCAAGCTTGGCAACTTCAAGACTTGTGGACTTCAACTCCCAGAATTCTCCAGCCAGCTGGCTGGAGAATTCTGGGAGTTGAAGTCCACAAATCTTGAAGCTGCCAAGTTTGGAGACCTCTGATTTAACTATATCTGCGTAAGTTTCTACCTTAAAAAGGCAGGCTGCTTGTTTGAAAAATGAACCCACTGATGCTTCCAACTGAAAACAGCAATGGCCCTCTGCTATTTTCCTACTAATAGCAGGAATCTTTGAAAGCCCCGAGGATTTTTCTCCAACCAATATTTGCACACCCACCCTTTGCAAGCTCAGTGAAAATCCCAGCCAAACCTGATCAATTCCTTCACATTCTGCCTTGTCAATTTCAAATGGTTTTTGTTTTTTTTTTGCAAGAAATTATTACAGAGAGAAAGCAGGGCAGGCCAACATGACTGGAGGCCAAGCAGGCCGGGTCCCTCCGCCAGTGCAAACACACACGCTTGCACACTTAAAAGCTTTTGCTCAAACTTCACGAACTGCAGTTCCCAGCAGCCTCAGGGAGGAAAACACCATTTCCGCAGCCACCAAAAAAAAAAAAAACACGCCTGGGAGCAACCAAGAGAAGAAAAATAAAAACCACAGGAACTCTGATTCCAAGACCTAAAAACACTGGGAAAGACTTAAATAAAAGGATAAAACCAAAACATTGCATTTAAATATCATCTATAATAAAGAAAGGCTAGGTAGATTTGATTATACAGATCCGGAACAATTCAAAGCTGAGTGCATGGAGGAAGTTTAACCCTGTTTCTGCTGTTTGCAAAGACTGTGTAGTTCAGCTGTTACCCTGTGGTTGTACGAGTGGGGGGACAAACAAGGTGAAAACAGAAAAGATTTCCTAAAAGTTGCAACTTCACACACACACACCCAGACCAGAGGGATCTCAAGCTAAAAAGTTGCCAATTGTTCAATTCAACAGGCCTGCAAGCCTGAACGACCCTTCCTCTCTTCCTTGCTCTAAAAGCTGGGTGTGAAGATGCTGACCCGGGTTGAGCAATTCAAAGTTTGTTCCACGAGTTCCATCTGCAAAGGATGCAACACTGCACACCTGGGGTAGCAGCCACAACAGTTGGGTTTTCACACTCCCCGAGGCTTGGGGGAGGCTCCCAGTGATCTCCAACTGTTAGGACCTGCACAGTTAGGCCCGTTCACAGGCCAAAGGTTCAAGCCCACAAGGGCCATTCCCACGACCTAACCGGTTATTTCCCCCCCACACACACACACACACAATGCAGAATGCATTTGTGGTCAGGCCCCGTAGACCCAAGAACTCAGCTCAGCTAACCACGGTTAAACTTCCTTGACTCAATCCAACCAAGGGGTTCCTTTTCCGAGGTGTTGGGCTCTCTAAAATGAGCCTTGTTGGTGCAGTTCACACAACTCCTGGTCAATTCCCATGGGTCCACTGCACCCAAGACTACAGACCTCGTAGGAAGCCTTAACCCCCAAAGAGACCCCTCCAAAACTGTTCCAAGGGTCCAACCAGGCATTTGGCGGGGGAAAGGAGGGGGGATTTAAAGGAAAAGCGCATCTTTCCCCTCACCCAAACAGGCAAGCATCCAAATTAATTAAAATTACTCCACCATTTAGCCGCCTAACCCCAAGTCTGAGTCTAGACAGAACTTCCTCTGGGGTGGGGGGGAGCAGAAACACCGAGCACGAAGGGAACGGGGGAAAAAAAACATGTTTTCCGGCTAGGCCCCTCCCCGAACTGTGTGTGTCCGCGCGTATACACGCGTGTGCTTTCCACGCCGTTTCCCCCTCCGCCTTCCACCTCTCTCTCCTTTCCTTCCTGCGGGCGCCCGCTTGCAAATGCAGAGTATTCTTCCCTCAACGCCCCCCCCCCCGCCTCCCCGTTTCCTTCTCAGCCGCCCCAAAAGTGCTGAAAAGGACTCTCGTCGCGCTTTTTCGGGGCGAGCAAAACAAGCCAACAGAAAAATAAAATAAAATCAATTGTTTTGGTTTTGTTTTAAAGAAGAGCAGATTTTTCCCCCCCCCTGCCTTTTCCGGTTGCTTGGTTGGTTTGCTTGTTTTTTTAAAAACAAAAAACAAAAAACAAAGCTTGCTATATATTGATATTCTTTCGCGGAGAGAGTGAAACAACACAAAACAACACACACACACACAAAACAGAAAAAACAAAAAACAAAGAGAAAGTGAGCTCCGCCAAGCGAGCTTGTCCTCCGACCTTACCTTAGTGCCCGAGCCGCTCCGTGCAAGGCCGCTGACCCTTCTCTCTCTTTTTTTTCCCCTTAAACACCCCCCCCCCCCAAATAATCACCAAAAAAAATAAGAATAATAATTCCTTTGGCTGCGCATCCAAAGACGTCTCCAAAATCCGTGCCAAGCTCCCAGCAGAGCGGATTCTTGGGGAGGAGTGTGTGTGTGTGTTTTTTTTTAAAGGTGGGGGGGAGGTTGCAAAAAAATAAATGATTTGAAAAAATAATAATCAAACCAACACTTTAAGAATCAAGAAAAGCCCAAAAGCAGATCCCAGGGGGACGGTGCAAGCCCTGCCACGCCGCGATCCTCTTCCCTCGGGGTCCCCCCGCCGGAGCAGCTTCCCATGGGCTCGGCGCGGTGCGTAAAAATCCGAAAGAGAGGCTACCCGGCGCTTGGTTTGGCTTGGCTGGCTTGGAAAGCTCCGTCCGCTTCGGGGGCCCGGAAATCTCACCCTCCTCCGCCTCTCCTAAGATGTCTGAAGCTCCCAGCCGGAGGAGGAGGAGGAGGAAGAGAAGAGGAGGAGACAGCAGCAGCAGCAATAGCAGCAGCAGCCGCCACCGCCGACGCGCGCCCCGCAGTTCGCAGGCTTGCGGTGGCTGCGTTTTGCAAACGGATCTATTGGATTTTTATTTGGCAAAGGGTTCAACTTTGCGGAGAGCTCCGGCTTGGCTCCGCAGAGGAGGAGGAGGAGGAAGGGAAGGGAGAGAGGAGAGGAGGGGAAGGCAGGAGGACGCCCCCTCCCCCTTTTCCCTTGTTGAAGCCGCCGCAACAGCAGCAGGAATTGAGCCCGAGCTGGGGCGCACGGTTTGCAGCAGCCTGGCTGACACTCTTAAAGGGAACGGCGCCGTCTCCGACGCCTCTGAAGCTTTGAGGGGGGGGGGGGGGGGGGAAGGTGGGCCCCCCCCCCCTAAAAAAAAAGGGGGGGGGGGTTTGCCTGGGGGGCTTGTGCCCCCCCTGCAGCTCTCCAGAAGGAGTGGTGGGCGACTTGGTTTTTTTTTTTTTTTGGGGGGGGGGGGTGGGGGGGGAGGGGGGGAAAATGTTGGGGAGAGGAGGGGGGGCCCTCTGGGAGGTGCAAGTCCTGGGAGGCCATTTGCAGGTCATTTGGGGGTGATTGGGGGGCATCCAATCCAAAGAAGACCCCCAGGTTAATGTGGATGCTGAAGGAGACCAGGCTTTTATTCCGTAGCAGGGTTCCAGATCCATTGCACGGAGCCTTAAAAGGGGGTGATTTGCTTAAGAACCGTGGCAAAAAGGCCGTCGGATCAGATGCAACTCACTTAACAACCTCTGTTCTTAGCGGCAATTGTGGTCATAAGTTGAGATCCACTTGTAGTTAAAGAAGGCACCATCGCTTAAGCCTTGGAATGCCAGCCACCTAGGTACCTTTATTAGCGTGTGGGCTGTTTTGCAGGATGCAGCCACTCAGTGCCAAAAGCCACACGTGTTCTTGTTTCACATGTGACTTTCCTGATTTCCGCTGTCTGGAATAAACCGCGTCCTGCACCCCACCCCATCCCGACATAAATTGCGTAGCAGCCATTCAATCAATATTCATTTATAATCTTCAGCGCACCATTATGGTTCTCACACAAAACCCATCACTTTTCCAGCACCTCCCATATGTCAAGATATATAATTAGCGTATTGCGGCCTATATATCTGCTAATAACTTTTGCCTGAACCCTTAAGCGAGCTTGAATTGAAGAGAGCTAATAAGGCACGGCGGCTAATCCCTTTACGAGTCTTACATGTTGGTTCAAACTTCAGAAATAAAAACATACAGGTAGTTCTCCACTTACGACCACAATGGGAAGCAGAATTTCCATTGCTAAGTGAGGCAGCGGTGAAGTCTGACTTTTTTAAAAACTTTTTTTCCCCATGGTTGTTAAGCGAACCACATGGTCATTAAGTGAATTGTGGGCTTACAAATCAGAATGGGGATCAGAATTTCTGTGGCTAAGCAAGGGTGTTGGTTATCAAAACCTGATTTTATGACTTGTTTTGCCAAAGTTGTTAAGTGTGAATGACTACAATTAATTGACTTTGCCGGGAAGGTTGCAAATGCAGATAAGGTGACCCCAGAACTCTGCAAGGGTCATAAATATCTGCCAGTTGCCAAGCACTCAGAATTCTGATCATGTGACTCTGGGGATGCTGCAAAAGTTACAAGTGCTAGGATCAATCATAAGTCACTATTTTCATTGCTGTTGTAATCACATCACTAAATCAATGGTTGTAAGATGCAGGATCTCCTTCGCATAATTAAATATGAGCCAATAGTGTGCGGTGGAAGCTAAAAAAACCAATGCAATCCTAAATTGCATTAACAAAGGGATACAATCAAGATCAAGGGAGGTACTAAGACCACTCTATAAAGCCACACCTAGAATCCTGCATCCAGTTTTGGTCACCACACTATAACAAAGATGCTGAGACTTAGAAAGAGTGCAGAGAAGATCAACCAGGATGATTGGGGACTGGAGACTAAAACATATGATGAACGGTTGCAAGAACTGGGCCTGGCTAGTCTAGGGAAGAGAAGGATCAGGGGAGACAGGAGAGCATCTTCCAATATTTGAAGGGCTGCTACAGAGAGGAGGAGGGGGTCAAGCTATTCTCCAAGGCACCTGAAGGCCAGACAAGGAATAATGGATGGTAACTGAACAAGGAGAGATTCAACCTGGAAATAAGGAGGAATTTTCTGACAGAACAATCAACCCATGGAACAGGAGTTGCCTTCAGAAGTTGTGGGAGCTTCATCATCACTGGAAGCTTTCAAGAAGAGATTGGACTGCCATTTGTCAGGAATGGTGTAGGGTCTCCTGCTTGGGCTGGACTAGATGACCTACAAGGTCCCTTCCAACTCTGTTAATCTGGAATATCTGTAATAACATCTCAGAACTGTGTTCATCCTCTCCAGAAAACCTTCCAGTTCCAGAATTAACAATCGGTTCTAGATACTTAGAATGGCCCCTCTTTTCTCTCCCCTCCCCATTTGAAGTTGAAATGGAGAACAGAAGGGATCCGTAGGCGGGCAGGCTGGCTTGGAAAATTAGTCATTTTTTTTAGATGCATTTACCAGTCTGCCAGTATATCGCACATACACGCACACACACACGTACCACAAGACATGTTAATTTCTTAAATATCCACAGAGAATTCCTGATGCCATTCATCCCTGCAACAGTGCTTAACTTGGAAGTTAAGCGAGGAGAAAAGGGCCTAATTTTAAAAAAAAAGCTTGTTCTTAACCTGGCAGGATTTTGGAACGGGGGTTATGGTTTGGAAGAATCGAATTGGATTCATTCGCTCATGGGAATAAGCCATGTTTTCCTTCAACATGGTTGGAGGAAACCTTCAGATTAGATAAACAGAGTTGGATGGGACCTTGTAAGTCATCTAGTCCAACCCCCCACCCAAGCAGGAGACCCTGCACCATTTCTGACAGATGGCAGTCCAGTCTCTTCTTGAAGAGCTTCCAGTGATGAAGCTCCCACAACATCTGAAGGCAAGTTGCTCCATTGAATATACAATAACAGTTGGAAGGTCGTCCTTTATTTTTAATGTCAATCTATCCATCTCCACACAGTCTAGTATTTTCTGAATTACATCCTCATCTGATGGGATGTTCTCTCATTTTTTCCCATTTTTTTCTTGTTTCGTCCAAGCTCTGATCACCTGGAATGCTTGCCTTCCAGCTATTCTTGTTGAAAAGAAAAGACTTCAGAGGACCCATTAACCTTGGAAGGACGTGAAGGCGTCATAACTCTTGAGAAATGTTTGTCCTCCCTTCCAGCTCAACGTCTCTCCCTGAGCATGGCTTGTGGGAAGCCCAGTTTAACCAGAATAACAGAGTTGGAAGGGACCCTTGGAGGCCTTCTAGTCCAACCCCCCCTCCCCTCTGCTCAAGCACTAGACCAGGGACCCCAAACTTGGCAACTTTAAAACTTGTAGACTTCAACTCCCAGAATTCCTCAGCCAGCTATGCTGGGAGTTGAAGTCCACAAGTCTCCAAGTTGCCAAGTTTGGAGACCTCTGCACTAGACCATTTCAGACAAACAATTGTCCAGTCTAAAACCTCCCATGTTGGAGCATCCAAAACTTCTAGTGGCAAGTCGTTCCACTGATTAATCCATTTCTTGCCATCCCAAGACAACAACTCAAACGTCCCTGGTAATGTTGGCTTGAGAAGGCCAACCCTGCAGCATATCGTGAAGCAAATACTTTTGGGGGGGCTGTGGCCTCTCAAGTGCCTTGTCGATCCAGGAAATTTCAGATTAACAGAGTTGGAAGGGACCTTGTAGGTCATCTAGTCCAACCCCCCGCCCAAGCAGGAGACCCTACACCATTCCTGACAGATGGCAGTCCAGTCTCTTCTTGAAAGCTTCCA